GACAAGGGCACGATAGTTGCCTCTGCTCTGTAAAGGACACAATACAACTGCTAACGAAGCCAAATGAGTAAACGGCCCGACACTGTAGTAGACAATGCAGCAGAGGCATGCCAGCTTCCTACTTCAAGGTCTATGCAAATAAAGCCTGACGTGCAGTATTAGAAGAGGCAATAGCTTTTGTTCCCAGAGGACAGACAATAGGCACAATGGCAACTCCCACAGAAAACAAATTGGATAAAAAAATGGCAAAATGCAGCATTTACTCCCTCGAGACGTCACTTCAAAAAGCACTTTTAAGGAAAAGGTAGGTTCCATAACACCTTGCTTGCGACTGCGCTGCGGAGTCCTCTCTCGAGGTTCTACATTATGGATCTTACTTTTCCGGACTGTGTCACCAGACTCACCGCCACCAGCTCTGAAATATCAGACATGTTAACTCAACACCTTGGACCCTACGTTTTCAGACTGTGCCAGCATCACGAGGTCTGAAAGAATCACACATTCTCGGACTTGAAGAGACGACTTGGCCCTCGTGCCCTTTTCAGGACAGGAAAGGCAGCTTGGCAAAGTCGTTTGCTTGGTTCGATCTCACCTCCATCATGCCTTCTGCCTGGCCATAGCAGTATTCCCACTGTGGCCCATCAAAAGGGGAGGTAACATCCATATCACCTCTCACAAAACGACCCAGTCCACTTCCGGATTTCCACAACATCCTCAGCAGCTCTGGTGTTTCACCTGGGCACCAGGAGTCCAATGAAGAGGTGCTCATTGCCCAGCCTCACAAACCCCTCATTGGAATTCCTGCCAGCTTTTCTCCGCTCTACTGTCATTTAACTATTCACTGGACAGTAACATACCAAACAGAGATAAATCACCTTGGATGAAAGAACATGCCGTCCCTACTAGCACAGTTTACCAGTCTATCCTGTACATTTTCCAAGTCTCTGCATCAAGGACAGACTGCAAAAGGAACTCCCTGCTCAGATAACATTTCAGAATACCATGCTGGCAAAATGATTCCCTTGTGATCGTGAAAAGGGAGATCCAGGAGAGCGAAGGAAAACGGCATGATTGCCAATGGACAAGCAATGGAGTTATGGAACGTGAATAGAGGAGCCAAACCCATCACAATCCCACATCATCTCACACCCTACAGTCTCTAAAGTTAATCAATCATGTCCCCACAAATGTGCCGCAAGGAACATCTCCCAATGCAACACTATGATGCAGTACGTTGTCATCATATCTATCTCCAAACTACGGCAAAACAGGACCGGGAATGAAACAGTTTACAGACAGAAGTCACAGAATATTGTTTTGTGAGCCCTTGTTGAAACAGAAGCCAGGGAAAGTGGCTTCAGACATAGCACAAAAAGGTGCAACCTCTCACTGCAAGGCTGATCAGGAGGAGGAAACGAAAGTACGGAAGACTTGAAGGATCATTAAGACGAAAAGTACAGAAGACTTGAAGGATCATTAAGACGAAACAGAGGACGGAAATATCATTAAATACACATAGGTTTGAGTCATCAAGGGTCAGAGTGCGTGCAGGGCAGAAAAGATGCCAGTTGTCACTTGCACCGTGGTCCCGCATTAAAAATAACAAGGGCTTAGCAATGGACGCCAGGAAAGCAAGCAAGGAGAAAAGTGGATGGACAAGGACAGTCAGGAGATGGAACAGAGAGAGAGCAAAAACACACAACAGGCACTATATTGCATTCTGTAAGAAAGGGGAATGACAAAGCGGTGAGATTCTCACATTTGTTGTACAGTGGTTTTCGCAAGCCTTGATCTGCCCGAGGTAATTCGTTTGATACACTGTATAGACTGCTGCCTTGTCTCCTGTTATCATAGCCGCCCGTGTTGCCTCCGCGTCTCTGGCACATCAAACACTGTCTGCCATTTAGAGTTCTGCTCAGAAATAACACTGGATCTTCATGGAATGAAACAGTGGAATAATTCAGCGAAAAAAGACCATGCAGGCTCCACTCTAAGTGTCCAGTGACATCAAACACCTGGACATAACTCACAACATTGCACCAGTAACAACTCTTGGGGCAGAAATCAACCTCCACACAAGCACTGGCCAGGCAGATGATCCAGGGCCTAGGGGGAAGGTGAGACATAGAAAGAACGCTGCAATTCTGATGTGAGTGCAGGTATTGACAGGCAGGGCCGTTGGCAGAGAGGAAAACAAGTGAAGGGGGGAAGAGAGAGAGATGCAGGGGGCACAGAAAGGAAAAACAGGCAAAGACATAGGGAGGGCTCCCACCGCACCCAGCCCGCAACCCACCACACACAGCCCACAGCTCACAACATCCAGCGAGCCCACCGCATGAAGCTCAAACCCTAGTGCAGGCTGCCGCAAACAGCCTGCATCCCACCTCATTGGCCCACAGCCCTTCTCGCCCAGCCCACATCCTATCGTGCACAGCTCATCATACCAAGCCCGCGCATCTACAGCCCACAGCCCACCACCCCACAGCGCACCAAACCACAGCCCACCCCACACCCACACACCCACCAGCTCACAGGCCACAGCCCTCGATCCATGACCTTTTCACTTCATTCTGTGTCTCCTGCAATCCCCTTGTCCCAAAAAGGGTTCCAAAAACAAGATGCACTCAATCCAATGGCGAACTGGAGAAGCAGCCTCCCTTTTATTAAATGGGTGGCCATGTCCTAGTTATCCCACAGCATGTCCCACAACATAAAACTTCAGTCAAGTGAGGTGGGCCATGTCTGTTAAGATCCCCCAGAATTTCAGAGTGGGCAACAATTGGGAAAGGGTTGTAGCAGGTTTTTTTTGGTTGGCATTGCTTGTTCAATCTAGGATGAACATCTGACAGCTATTGGAGGTAGGACCAGTACCTCTTCGCAACCCTAGGACAGGTCAGGGTAGCAAAGAAACACGTGGAACCAATTCTCAGTCCCCGAACCGCACATTTCCCAGGTCCTTCCTCCCAAGCAGGGCAGTTTAAACCACCCGTCCATTGACCCTGTCACTGAAGACTTTCGCATAAACAACTACCATGGCTATACCTACAGCGACAATGCACGGCTTGGCCTCAGAGGGACTGGGCCAATAGGCCCCTGGAGACTCAAAACAGCCTATCGTGTTTAGCTCGTGGGCAGGCAGCACATGTGACAATGCGCTGCCCACTTCAAAGAAGTTTGTCCTTCAAATTGTGGCCTAATCTCTCAGCCTCGCCTCTTTCCAATCTATCTGTGGAGTAAATTTGGGATGATATCTCCTTCGGGACACCCATTAAAATTGCAACGAGACCGAGAAGATTAGCATTTCCCCTGTGGAAGGACGACACACATAAATTGAGAAATGGTCCGAGTTTTAAAAAAAAATAAAAAAATTGGGGCAATTGGATGGCCTTTACTGCATTCGCACCTCGAAAAAGCTGGGCGTTCAGGCCTACTGGTCACCAGATAGAACCTGGTGAAATAGTTTTCATAATGACTGTGTTCACCCAGCACCGCTAGATGAACTCTGCGGCATGGGCCCTTTTATTTCTTCATTCGTGCTGGGCTTTAGTCTTCACCAGCCCTCCACAGTGGCCCACCCAGAGCATTCAGGCGTGACCCTAAGTGAAGGCCGGTGCAGAAAAGGGTCTGCCAGGCTGCCCTAACAGGCCGGCCCAGCCTCTCAACTCTTTGCCGAGGCTGGAAACTGGCATCCAGTCTGGAAGGTTGTCAGATTGGATATGCAGCAACCTCCAGGGAACGAACAAGCACAGCTTGCAGGATTTCCTTTTTTTATCAACCAGATCCAGACCGGATTTTCTTTTCAAAAATATTCCTAACCAGATCCGATCCAGACCTAGTCTGCAAGAAAATTTCCAACTGCATCCAACCGAGAACTGGTTTTCTGTAGTTTTCCCACGTGCAAGGAAAATGAGCAATACCGAGATGACAATGTCCAGAATGCACAATCACATCGAAGGCCAGATAGTATCACAGTGTCCAGAAAGCAGAAATGCACCAATATAACACCAATGAAGAATCGTAACACTGAAAACCAATGTCAATGAGAGCTTGCTCTCACCACCACCAACATGAGTGTCCAGGCCCTATCTCCCTACTTGGCGCTCGGCGCCCAGCCTACTTCCTACACAGCTACAGTCTGCCTACTAATTGACAATGCAACCGTTGACGTCAGCAGCTTAAAAAGTACTTGAAGATGTCGCCCAATGCAGACCATCGCCAATACCAGGTATGTGCCCTCACATCATCATCATCATCATCATCCTTCTCTCTCTGTGGCATACTGCGCATCCACACGGACCTGCAAGGCCCGACCAAACAAGGGAAGTAAGGGCCCTAAAGGCCCTGTGTCGTTTTCAGCCTGAAAGCCTGAAAACAAGGGCCTACAGGCCTTGTGTCGTTTCAGCCTGAAAGCCTGAAAACGAGGGCCTACAGGCCCTGTGTCGTTTCAGCCTAAAAGCCTGAAAACGAGGGCCATTTTCAGGCCCTCATAAAGTCGACCTGTGTCGTTTCAGCCTGAAAGCCTGAAAACGAGGGCCTACAGGCCCTGTGTCGTTTCAGCCTAAAAGCCTGAAAACGAGGGCCATTTTTAGGCCCTCGTAAAGTCGACCTGCCCTGAAACTTAGGCACCAGACCAGGGTTTTTAGCACCGGCCATTTTCGGCCTGTTTTCAAGACAACCTTTGTTTGAACTTCAACACCAGGGTCTGGCACGTTTTGGCATTGGCAAGAGCAGCCTACTGGACGGGCCAGCACTATATAAGACTGGCCCGCCCTGCAGGCTGCAGGCAGTCAGGAGACAGTCACGAGGTAGTTCCTAGGAACTTCCCAGGCACTTCACGTGCAGGAGGCAGAAGGCAGGAGTAGTCGTCAAGATTCGGCAGCAGCACTCTGGAGGAGCGCTGCAGGAGTAGCTTTAGCACTAGCAGTAGTCTTCAGCGCTGGGCGCTAGTAGCTGTAGTGGTAGTCTTCAGCGCTGGGCGCTATGCTCAACAAGGAGTTCCGAATGGACAGAACCACAGGATCGAGAGTCGACTCATCTATACCTTCTAACTTGCCTAGCTCCTCTGCCCTTGCTGTGGCTCTAGCTTTTGCTGCTGTGGCTGCTGCTAGTGCCCTCTCAGCATCGACTGCTGCTGCCCTAGCCCTCAGCAGTATGCCCCTCTCCCTAGCTTCTCTCTGCAGTCTCCTTTCCTTTCCTGGCTGTACCACCAAGAAAGTGATCGGCCTCTTGAGTGCAAGTCTATGGGTAAGTCTCCTATCTCCCTGCTCTAGTTCTTCAACCTCAATCTCTTCTCCACTCATGAGCTATGCGTGGCATGCAATCTACACTAGCGTCCTTGCTGGGACCTACAGCAGCATGGCATCCAACCGATTAAAATAAAATAAAGTAAATGTTCGGTCCAGCTTTGTCAGAAAGTAGCCAAGCGGTAACAGCAGATAATCTCAGATTCCTATAAAAAATTCTATTTCTATTTTTGACTAGTCCGGAACAGATTGCAATCCACCAAATTATTAACTATATCTGCAGCCATCTGTTAGTTGTTAGCTGGTGTGCATGCAGAATGGAATTTTACCTGAGTGAGGACGCCGCCCGGCCAGGCCCAGCCGGTTGGGCACGGGGGGCGCCCATGATTTTTTTTTGAAACCGGGGTCGTTCTGCGCTCCGCGAGAGGACCCCGAATCTGCAATAAAATTTTGGTTTTGGTGGGGGGATGGGGGGGTTG